TGTCAGACCTTAATGATCAGAGTATGGTAGTTAGGAGTTTGCTGACTCTGCACCACTTAGTAGTGGTCTTCTTGACTTCTTAACTTCTTCCCGCCCAGCAGCAGCTTCAGCAAAGTGGAGAAGTCAGTATAGTTGAAGAAGACAACTAAGAGACAAGACCTTTAGATCCTGTACTTGACCTATCTGTGAGCAATGGTGTAAGATTGTCAAGACATGCCACCTCTGTCTGCCTCCATGTCCTAGACTGCACCACCATGATGAAGACACTCACCACAGTGATGATTAATGGGGGTTAATGAGTAATGGAATGACACCAGGAAGAAGAAACAGCACAGAAAAACAACCAGTGACCACATTTTCCTCGAGATTTTCCTGGAATACGCCACGTGTGATGGGATCCTGGAATTAATTTCATTATTGCTGCTAAGAGGGGTCAAGAGGTTACAGATGTAAGAAATTCTAGAAGTTGTTAAAAAGAGAGAAAAGAAGAAAAGAGAAGTAAAAAAAAACCCCAGAAGAATACAATGTGTTGGGTACAGATCTTTTTATTTCTGGTGTCTGGACAGTCTTTTACTTCTGGGAGTCAGGATGAGATCTTTATGGGGACCAGATGAACCCCATCAACACCCTGTTGGCCTTTTCAGTTTTCTGTCAAGCTGGGGCTGCTGCTCACTGTCAGGAACAAAGCAGTGAACTTGGTAGGATTAAAACTGATCTCGTCTGACTATTCCATATTCCTTGTGAAAACAAAGCCTTCGTGGCACCACATGCACTGTTGCATGGGTGTATTAAATGTGTCCTTGAGCATATTTGCAGCCCTCTGTATGGTACCTGCATGCTTTCAAATTGCAGTGCTGCATTTAAACAAAGTGCCATTGAATCACACCCCTGCTGCACTTTGCGAGGCTTTATCAAAGCACTTGGGAAAGTAATTTCTGCTTCTTATCTGCTTTATCAGGCTGTACTTCGTGCTACCCAGGTACCAGTGAAATTGCCATGTGTCATGGCACAACACCTCCCTGTCATTTTGCCAAGGGTTTGCTAAAATTTGCTTTGGGCCAGGTTGTCCAGCTGCTGGGAACTAATATGTCACGGAGCCAGGGGTATAAATTCAGATAGTCAATTCCTTGCCATACCCTGCCTTTTCCTGGGATCACCCTTTAGTCCCTGTAATCTAGCCACAAAAGCAGCAGTGTCTTTCATTTCCAGTGACTTTCACATCAAGGAGATGATTTGTTTGCTCAACGAACAAAGGCAGGAGCCATCTGCTGAATTTTGCTCATGGTCGGACGTCACAGGCAGGCTTCTGAAAACACCCCCAAAGTAACAGCTCATCCACCAGATCTGGACTTGTGTAACTGTGGCGCGATGAGCACTATTCTTAGGGACAGCATTTCGGTGGAGTCACACCTCCAGGAGGTGTGAATCTAGCCCCTGAAAAGAGCAGATGAGAATAATCCATCACCCACAAACAACATCGCTCTCATGTCAAGCTTCGCAGCTGGAGAGCTTGAGGCTGATGGTAGGTAACCACACTTGAGCCTATTTGTTTAGGACCCAAGTGCACACAGGGGATGCCCACAGTTAACCAGAAGTCTAGGGCAGACCTGGGAGTAAGTATAAAGCTCCTGATTCCTGTCTTTGTGCTTGGCCCATAGAGCTGCTTTTCTTATATGTTTGATACTTGTAAATCTGTAGCAGAACCAGAAGTTTTGGTAAAGCCTCTTAATACTTAATTCCTGCTTCCAAAATATTTCCTCTCTATCACTTTTCCTATATGGGAGTGTTCCTCACTGAAGGCAGCACAAAAGAGGTAAGGCAGATGATATATTAGAGGCATTGCTTATAAAATGGTGGCTACATATGGACTGTTTACCACACTGTAGTGCTGCAGGTTCCCATCATACCTCTCCTGCCACACAGTCAGGCTCTATTACAGCTCTAAAGTAGTGACAGGGTGTGATAGTGTTAAGCATCACAGAGCAGCACAAGATCAAGAGCAGAGGCCAACTGAGATTTCCCTGTAGTCAACTGAGAGCCTGAGCTGTCAAAATGTGCAGCCCTGGAGTATTACAAGAAAACATAAATGATATCTTACACAGAGCTTCAACTGTATCAGTGATGTGGGAATGCAGAGCTTTGAACTGGAAAAGCTGAAGTTTTCCCTTGTTTGTTTTTATCATTTAATATTGATATTTGTTTTGCCCCTGAGGGCCATGAACAAGTTACTTGCTGAACTTGCTGAATCTTCATAGTGATTGTGAGGAATTCCTTTTTTCTGGTGCTTAGTTTTGATTATAGATTCTAAAATAATGAGAAGATCCACCATAATACTCCTTGTCTTTACCCTGAGGTCTGTAGTGTGCCAATGTCACAAAAGACAGTGTGTGTCAAACAATATCATGATCCTGAACTAGTATGGAAAAAATATTGGGTGTCCAGATTTCTGCAGTTAAGCCTTTGGAAGCTGTTATGTCTGGGGGTTTTATCATGGCTAATGCCAATAGGAAACAAAATGAATGGCTTTAGTCCATTCAGTGGTTTTCCTGACGTAATTAATGGACAGAAATAGAAGGCAGGAATTGAACTAAACCACTCCCATTCTTTTCTTATCCCCCTCTGAGATTTTTGCAGGCAAAGATCTATAAACTGTGTGAGTTTACTGGGTAGTTTTTCCCATGTTGTATATGACCCTCAGAAGTCTGTTGATGCACAAAGGTCAGGCCCCCTACACTTACTCTTTCCTGCAGCTACTGTCTTTTCTAAGTAAGTGACCATGATATTTTTCTGAAGATTAGTGGTCAGGGAGCATCTTTAAAGCCATTTTCTATCAGAAAATCTGCCATTCTCTGTGTCTGCTGGGCACAGATTTGCCAAGCAGTTTAGTTCTCTGTATGTTGGGTTTGAGAGGATGCTGCTATTCCATTGCAACAACAGTGTCCATAGACCCTACATGCAGCACATACCCCATGGTGAAGAATTTTGAAATGAACCAATTGTCAAATGAACAAAATGAACAAAAATCTAAATGAACAAAAATGTCATTTAGATCCACACCCGGACATGGCTACATGTTGCCAAGAGACAGGCAATATCATTTATATGATGATTGCTGATAAACATCTTTTCTTGCTGGAGTGCAATCAATGGGAGGATTTGGCTAGCTTTTCCATGAAGGGCGTTTCAATCTCTGTTCTTTTAGAGACTTACTCATTAGATTGTACAGGGGATAAAACATGAAGTTAATGCTGAAGAATGTTTCTGTACTTTGTGTCTGTAAATAGCAAAATCCAGTAGCAGCCTAAAATGGAATAGCTTCCCCCATATACACATTATGGTGGTAGTCTTTAATAATTGGTCTAATGGTGGAAACACACTAATGTGTTTCAGTTTAGATGTCATGATCCTGGATAATGTATGGATTGGAAGTGACTTATGATTCATACTTAATAACTCCTGTCCTCCCACCAGCTTAGCAATATCTGAAGGCTATTAAAATACTGCAGCTCTCCTGTTAAACCAACAGATCTGTTCCCGAATAAAGGTGCACTATGTAACATCTGCCTCCTTGTGCTTTCACACCTTGGGCCCTGGGAGTGGGTTAATAGATGTCTTCTAGAGACCTTCTAGGAGGGAAATTTTAGATATGCTGGCAACAGACAGCATACATGCTTCCAGGACTAAACCAGGATGAGTGCTTGATAAACTTAATGTGAAAAGAAAATCTAGCTTGCCTTAAAAACTGACCAGACAGCCCAAGCTGGTGGGCTCAGGCTCTAAGTGAGCCTTTCTCATAGGTGGCAAGAGTTGGACCAGGATGTACTTTCTTTGAAGAAGAAAACACCCAGTTCTTTAATTTCAACTGTGGGTCTTTCTCTGGTTTGAAGAAGACAGAGGGAAGCAGCTGCTGCTTGTGGCTGGAGGGGTGTCTGCCTTAGAAAAAGGAAACTGGAAATAGGGAACAAAACTGCAACTTCTTACTGAAATGGTGAGTTCTTGTATTAGTGGTGGTTTGCACAACACCAAAGTCAAGTGATCTTTGTGGAAGAGAAACAACCCTCCTCTCTGAGCTGCTGAGTTGAGAGGCTGCTGAATCAGCTAAAAATAATAATGTCATAGAATCATAGAATCACAGAATAGTTTGGGTTGGAAAGGACCTTAAGATCATCAAGTTCCAACCCCCCTGCCATGGGCAGGGACACCTCACACTAAACCATCTCACCCAAGGCCTTGTCCAACCTGGCCTTGAACACTGCCAGGGATGGAGCATTCACAACCTCCTTGGACAACCTATTCCAGTGCCTCACCACCCTAACAGGAAAGAATTTCCTCCTTATATCCAGTCTAAACTTCCCCTGTTTAAGTTTTAACCCATTACCCCTTGTCCTGTCACTGCAGTCCCTAATGAAGAGTCCATCCCCAGCATCCCTATAGGCCCCCTTCAGATACTGGAAGGCTGCTATGAGGTCTCCACGCAGCCTTCTCTTCTCCAGGCTGAACAGACCCAACTTTCTCAGCCAATCTTCTACTCCTGGGAGGATTTAACAGCTCCTGTGGGGTTGTCCAGACAAATGGTGCTTCAAAGTCTCAGGCGAGTAATAATAATTGCCCTAGCATGTGTTTTCTAACACTGTTTTGTAGACTTTACCAGCGAAATTGTTGTCTTCTAGGTAGTATTCTTAATTCTGTTTGTGCACCATGTTAACTAGGAAGACTTAATAAACGGAAGATGCATCTTCGTGAGTGACTGCACATACCTGTATCTACCTGCAGTTGCACTGGCATAAACTTAGCATCATGTTTTCACCAATTCTGAGAGGAATTCTATCTGTTTATCCAGGCTTGGCATGGTTGTGTGGGATAAAGGAAATGTTTTTGCACTGCTGATAGAAACAATGCTATTGCTAAATATAAGCAAGTAAAAACACAGTTGAAATGGGTTGTGCTGTAATTTTGTTTCCTGTTTTACCAATTCTATTTATTTTCCTTATGTCCTACAGAACAATTCAATTAAAACATCGAAGTACAACTTCTTCACTTTCCTGCCTCTCAACCTGTTTGAGCAGTTTCAGCGAATAGCCAACGCTTACTTTCTTTTCTTGCTGATTTTGCAGGTATGAATTCACTGTGCTTTTTCTAGAAGATTGCATTGTCTGTTATCAAAGCCTGTGTGTTGATAGATGTAATAAAGTTCAAGCTATAACCCTCTTGTGAATTAACATCTTAGCAAAACCTTAAAGTAGATAGAAAATAGGTCGGGCAAAAAAAGCAATTTCCTCTCTTATCTTTGGATATGAGGGTTTGAACTAAATGAATAAAAAATGTAATTAAAGTTCTCAACAAATTGTGTACCTTTTTCATACCCTGTCCTACCACCCTTTTTTGTCTGCATCGGAGTGCTCCTGGCTGTCCTTGTATTTGCATTACTTATTCCTCCTGTAGTACAGAAGGAGGTTGTCTCTTATCCATAGTTTTAAAGCCAAGTTCCACTGGCAGTCTCAAAGGAAAACACAAGAAGAACGAATCTGTAAGCTGTACTGTTTTTCTGGGAAGGAAGGAGTTAACCTCAGGGAGGCTCAAGACTGGGGCCAGTTTGCATAAAGCTGACTATTGCTGCTGCCGGCTCATCAGGGTGAGCAAGGTGTCTAACACGGAGTGTGCAGACACTGGCAACTCTATTGAACCCTGTGGCTCACAATGGCATTGAGCTGCACTTTGCCCATCATTGTTGGTAATGCTACTCTGTCTGAAAGCTGAACACACTGAAGAAATTGATACCAGGGTTTCTTCTGCCCCTTTGCACTTTGCTAGAATATGGATAAATGCAGTGTGCTCTGTTGTTGCTGAGTCATACTGGGGTACACATTATCCAAAAAAGGGTATGATGTTGATTATGTTTCAAGTATGGTATTTTGAATTTTATGTTTTCAGTGCACACAAGTTTTCAAAATTACCCTTTTCAAGTACTCTTTTTCAATTTCAGCTCCAAAAAAGCACAAGCAACGTATTATTTTTAAGCTGCAACAGAGTGCATACAATCTTTTCTTATTTACAGGGAGTGAATTTGGGAAATTTCAGCCCTCTTCAATTTTTCAAGAGACTAGTTAAGGTGCCTTTTCAGCTAAGCTGACAGCACCATTCCTGTGTTGTTGTACTGCACTCTAGCTGTTTGTCTATCAAATTCATAGCATTTCAAATGATTTGCCTTTAATTAGTTCACTGTCTTTTGCTGAACCATCTAAGCATGACTGTATAAGAAAGCATACCGCTTTTTCTGCTACTTGCATCAAGGTGGGCTAGAGAGGGCAGCCATTAGTCTTTTGTGTTTACATATTCCTCCACTTATTATTTTCCTCTCTTTCTACTGAGTCAATCTCTCTACCTCTGGAGCTCCTCTTCCTGCAGCAGGAGTGGATGTGATGGGGAGGCTGTGGGAATTCTGCAATCAACTGAGGACTTTGCAATCCTAATTTACAAACAACAACAAAGAGCAATCCACTACGCTTCCTGACAGCTCCATGTTTATAATGTACATTACAGCTTGTTTTGTAAGCAAAGTACGGGTCCCCTTGCTCACCTATCTCTGTGGAATAATGTATAAGTAATAGAGCTGCATTTCTGTCCCTATACTGTGTTCAAGTACCACAGGAAAATGTTGCCTGCAGCTTCCACAGAAAACAGTGGCTTTTTCTGTCTTCCTGTATTGGCCGGAAATTTCACAGCTCATATCTTTTTCTCCTCCAGTTGATTCCTCAGATTTCCTCGCTGGCCTGGTTTACAACAGTGGTGCCCCTAGTGCTGGTGCTGGCTGTATCGGGAGTCAAGGATGCCATCGATGATTTTGTAAGATCTATATTACTGACCTGTACTTTGGAGTTTCTCTGTGATTCTTCAGCATAATGACTAAAGCAAATCACCTAAAACAAACAAAGCTAGTGGCAGGCAGCTGGAGAACTGGTCTGTGGCCAAGATGGGGTCTGAGATTAGATCCCCAAATCTATCATTTTTTACCTAAAAAGGAACTAGAATTTCCAAATCACTGAGCAGACCAACAGCTCCATTTACTTTCTCTGAAACCACTCAGTGTGTCTGAAAATGCTGTCACTGATAGGTATGTCTGTACACATTCATGAAAGTCTGATCTTAAGTCTTCTACTTTGGAGAGCTGATCCTCCGCCGCCTAGCTGCAAAGTAGGCATAAAAAAACATGTGGTAGGAAGCAAGCATCCATGTGGGGTTTTTCAAACTTGTCCAGCTTTGGCCAAAGTCTGCTCCCATGAGAGCTAATGGTCAAAGTCCCATTGGCTTCATTGGGGTAATGTTAGAGCTGAGTTTGGCATCTGATTTTCTCTCATAATTAAAACAATTTCGATGGTCTATGGAGAGTCAGTTCAACTTTGCAAGTAGGCGAATGAGAGGTGGTGAGGTACTCTCCTAGGAAGCAATGCTGGAACATCTGTGGCCACTTTCCATGTCAGAGCAGAAGAATGGATTTCTCTGTTGTGTTGGCAGAACCAACACCAGCTGAGTCAGGACTGTACTAAGAGACATATAAGGCCCTACCCTACTTCTGCCCTCCAAGAGGAAGCCCTGTGTTGCCTGCTGCTCTTTGCAGTCCAGTTATGCTCTATGTTACTAGTGTAAATATGGGCTGGACTATGACTCAGTTGTAACTCTACTCTGCCTGACCCTTTCAAGCCAGCTGAGAGAAAACCTAAAATGTTAATGAGCTGCCTACAGCTCTTGTGCACTTGTTTTCTTGGAAATACTTTTTAACATACTGATCAAATTTTCAGAATCGCCACAAAAGCGACAAGCATGTCAACAACCGCCCAGTCCAGGTCCTGATCAATGGCATGTAAGTCCTTTTTCTTTTGCTGTAATGTTGACTGGGAAGAGCACTTTATTAATAATATATATATTTATGTGTGATTTCCAAGGATCAGCAAACAATTTAAAATTAAGTTGTCTTTCACACCATTAGTTCACTGTGCAGTTCTGGACTGTGTCTGGTTAATGGCCCCAAGACACAGTACCACAATCTGTACAGACCTCATGGCTGTGACTTTGCACTGACAAGAGGTAAACTCTCTCTCTTCCAGGATATATTTAAGGAAGTGATACTTTGAGACCATTGCTTTATTTTATGCCTGACCCCAGAATTGACAGATCTAATGAAAGGTGTCCCTGCCCATGGCAGAGGGATTGGAACTAGATGGTCTTTAAGGTCCCTTCCAACCAAAACCATTCTGTGATTCTATGACAATCAAGGCTATCCTCCTATATCCACTCAAGTTCACAGCATTTATTTCTGCATTAGGCAAAACCAGGCATTATCAACAAAGTATTAAATATAGAAGCAGGAATAGCTTCCTTATACATGTTATAATACTTCGAGTGTGTATAACACTTCAGATTTAGATGTACTGGAAGCCTTTCCTGTGCTTTGGACATCGTACTGCTAGCACTGTCCTTTCCTGCATAAAAAAATAGCACAGGCTTTGGCTTTTGTAGGAGACAGATGTACTGTTTACTTGAGGGTCCATGGAGTTGAACTGTGTGTGGGACACAGCTGTAGACAGCTGTGAGGTCTCTAGTGGCTTTTTTTTCTGTGCTATAGATAGCAGTATGTTGTGTAAACTCAAACAGATGATCAGTTAAGAATATAACTTGAAACCGAAGAACAGGAACATACTTTTTGTGCTTTCTACTAAATAAAACAATTCTGTAGTTTCCTGTGTATTAGTTACTGTGTCTAGGAAACGTACATTGAAATAGGAATTTTCTAATATTTTGCCTTTGTTCAAAAACTGGAAGCCATAGGTACTGCCAAATCTGGCCAACACTGAAAAATGCAAGGCTGACCTGAACTCAAGCCTGTATACCTGGTCCTGTTTTGATACAGCTCTTGATACTTCTCCCCTCACTATTAGATTTTGCATATTCAGCTATCATGACTTGGTTATGTTGGCACTTGCATCTAGGTTTGTGCTTTGAAGGCCACTGCAGACACAGGCTTGGGAAGCCTGACATATGGGGAAAGACTGAGAGCTGTTCAGACTTGAGAAAAGAAGGCTCAGGGGAGACCTTACCACCAGGTTCCAGTATTTAAATGGTTGCTACGAAGAAGATGGAGACTCCATTTTTACAAGGAGTCTCATGGAAAAGATGAGGTGTGATGGGCACAAGCTACTCCTGCAGAGGTTCTGGTTAAACACAGAGAAAACAAATTCCCAATGAGAACAATTAGCCATTGGAATAATCTCCTCTGGGAAGTGGTGGATTCCCCAACACTGGAGACTTCAGCTGGACACAGTGCTTGGACATCTAGTTTAGGTTGTTTTGCCTAGAAAGGTTGGACCAGATGGTCCTTGAGGTCCTTTTCAATTTGGTGTTCTATGATTCTATGATTCTTAGCTAGGCACATGTACAGCAAAGCATCTGCGTTGATCTTCCTGACAGCCAAGCCTACACAGAGTCAGATCTCTTCTTCTGGCCCTTAGTACCACATGGAAAAACTAACCCAACTGGCAATTGTCCCAGGTGTTCGTAAAGTCTGTTATGCAAAGCAGAGAGTTTTTGCCTGAGAGAATGTAGCTGTTTAGGAGAAGGAAGGGAGTAGTCAGTCATAGAATCATAGAATAGTTAAGGTTGGAATAGATCTTAAGATCATCTAATTCCAACCTCCCTGCCATGGGCATGGACACCTCATACTAATAAATGCCACCCAAGGCTCTGTCCAACCTGGACTTGAACACCGCCAGGGATGCAGCATTCACAACTTCCCTGGGCAACCCATTCCAGTGCCTCACCACCCTCACAGTAAAGAACTTCTTCCTTTTATCCAATCTAAACTTCCCCTGTTTAAGTTTTACCCATTACCCCTTGTCCTGTCACTACAGTCCCTAATGAGGAGTCCATCCCAAACATCCCTATAGGCCCCCTTCAGATACTGGAAGGCTGCTATGAGGTTTCCATGCAGCCTTCTCTTCTCCAGGCTGAAGAACAGCGCACATATTGCTATTGTGGGGCTTGGTCTCAGTGCTGCACAGGTCACCCCGTTACTGCTCTTTTTTGTATTGTGGTGGTCCCTTAGCTTAGTAAGGATCGGGCCCCCATCTCATCAATGGCCTGAATCCTGATGGCACCTACAGTCTGGCTTGAGGAGCCAAACGGACTATTCTGTGTTCCCTAAGTGGTATTTGCTTTATGTGCCTACTTACTAGGACCTGTCTTGCAGGTTAAAGGATGAAAAATGGATGAATGTCCAAGTGGGGGATATAATAAAACTAGAAAACAACAACTTTGTGACGGTGAGTACAGCTTCTCTCCATCCTGCTCTCAGTCAGCCTCTGTAAATCTCTGTAATTACTCTCACCAGTGACAAGAAAATTAGTCAGTGCTGATGATAACTGCCTCGGAGACCTGCAGTGTGCAGAAACCACAAGTAGCATTGCAGTGACATGCCTTCTGACCATGTGAATTCATGCCCAGTCTGTCTGTCTGTGTTCAGGCTGATCTACTGCTACTGTCAAGCAGCGAGCCACACAGCCTGACATACATCGAGACAGCTGAACTGGATGGGTAAGTAAGCCTGGCTCTTGCGTGCAACCACTACTATCAGTGCCGGATCAAATCTCTGGTGACCCTGAGTGCTGCAGGCTTACCTGCAGTATCTTTGGTAGCATGCATTTCCTAATATGTAGAATAAATTTTGGGTAGGTATCTTGAAAAATAACACCTTCTGGTGGATACTTTTGGCACCTCTCAGTGCAAATATCATGTGAGGAGGGGACTTCATCATAGCGTTTCTTCTAACACTGAGAGTTAGTTAGAAACCTGTTCCTGCAGTATCACCGATCACTGGCAGAAGCTTTCCGTTTCTTGTATTTCCCTCTCAGTCTTTTCTCTTAGCCAGATTATCCTGGTGAGATAATCACAATGAATACCTCTGGTAATCTCCTTTGGACCATAATATTATTATATTAATGCATGCACACTGCAAAGGCTTCCAATCATTGTCTGCTCCAGGGCATAACTGGCCAAAAGGTAGAGAGCTACAACTGATTTATATAAAGAGCTGTATTAATTTATATAAACTGGACCTGACCATCTTTATGGCCCAATTTACATTACCTTTTCTGTGTTGCCTGGACCTGGCATCAGCTTGAAGAACTAAGCAAGACCACGGATATCAAAAGTTGTGTCCTTCCTAGGACTCTACAGATACCCCTCTGGATCTTCCCTATCTGATTTCTGCTGTAAAGGAGCTTGTAGTTCCTGGCACATGCTTTGCAAACACTGAACAAATGCAGTGTTTCTTTGACATTGCATTTCAAACTTCCCAGCTACTCAGTTTCAGGATCCAGGATCAGAATGCCATGGGAGAAGATTCAGAGCTCTCCTCTATGCTCAGGTATCTCAGGATTCTGTGTGGTGTGAGTGTCAAGACAGACAGTGAGATAGATGCTCAGGGAGCTGAGATGCCTGGTCTGTACTTGTGAAAAAGAGAAGACAGAGCCACCCTTTTTGACACCATGTTCAGAATTCCTCTGGACTGCCTGTCTTTGCCACTGAAAGAGACAACAACATCCTTTACCCACATAAAACAGGTACATGGTGGCATGGTCCCATCAGATGTCTAAGAAGGCAGTCCTCAAGAACAGGAAGTAGCTCTCAGGGAGAACTTTCAGTTCACATATGACTTTCAGCTCATGTTTCTGTCTCATGTTATTTGTTACAGTGAAACAAACCTGAAGGTGAAGCAGGCATTGACAGTCACTGCAGAGCTTGGGGAAGATCTTCAGAAACTGACAGAGTTCAATGGTGAGTCTATATAGAAAGCTCATTTTCCAGAGGATCTGCAGAAAACACCAGAGTCCGAACAGTGCTTGGGAGTCTGCTGCTTCGTGCTGGGACTCCTCTGGATGCAGGAGAACTAAATGGGCACATTGCAGTCTGTACAACAGATACCAACAGCATATGTAGAGAAAGAGGTCCATCTTTGCTTGCAGGTCTCAGTGCTGGGCATGGCTATAACCTGAAACTGCATTTGTGGCTATTCTTCTTCTGTGTACATGTTGAAATTGCCCACCTTGAACCTCAGTAGGAGAGTTCCTGTAGCTGCACAGTAGAAACTGTATTCCCAAAACTTCATGCTTGATCTCAAAATGATTTCATACTGCACTTTTATATTGATGCAGTAATGCTGACTCATCAATTACATTTAGACTCTGAGCAGGGGCACATCCCAGACACCGTGCAGATCTGAGGACTAACTCTGTGCACACAGGACAGATGACTGCTTCCCAGCCTGATGCCTTACATTGCCAGCATTTCTCTCCTTTCTCAATACCACAATAAAGACTGCATTTTGAGATATTTAAAGACAAGCAGTGCAGATGTCATTAATGGGCAATGTGTCCTTTCTTAGCACTGTTTTGTATATCAAATTAGCATAGGACAGGATAAGATAGGATAGGATAGGATTAAGATAGGAGGGGATGGGATGGGACGGCATGGGACAGGATGGGATGGGATGGGATGGGATAGGGCAGGATGGCATAGGGTGGAATGGGACAGGATGGGATAGAACAGAATGTTTCAGTTGCAAGGGACCTGCAAAGATCATCCAGTCCACCTGCCTGACTAATTCAGGGCTGACCAAAAGTTTATGTTGTTAAGGGCATTGCCCAAATACTTCTTAAACACTGACAGGTCTGGGGCATTGACCACCTCTCTAGGAAACCTGTTCCAGTGTTTGACCCACCTCTCAGTAAACAAATGCTTCCTAATGTCCAGTCTGAACCTCCCATGGCACAGCTTTGAACCATTCCCACACATCCTGTCACTGGATACCAGGGAATATATAGCAGCACATACACAGAAAGGACATAGACCTGTTTAAATCAGAATGCTCCATGCTCACACATCATCTGTCTGCAGAGAGAGGATGGGGGAACAGACCAAGTGGTGTTAGTCATGCTCTGGAGTACCCTGGCTTAGATACAAGGGCACAATTATGGGAAGAGCAAGTATGGAATGGGTGAAGTGAGTGCTGCTGTCCTTGGAACATCTCAAGGACTGCAGGATCTCAGGAAATACTTTTAGATAAAAAGCAAGAATTAAAAAAAAAATTTTTTTGAAATAACCAGGTGATTCCAGGACACGTGGTGGGGACTGTTGATGGTAAAATCACGCAAAGGCTTTTCTTCTGCCTTCCACCTTGAGGTTTTACACAATGATGTACATGGTCTCAGCTGAGTGTCAGCTCAGTAAATCAGAATTTCTCTGAAGTGACAGCTGAGGTTCTGAGTGTTTAAGGTCTCGAGAAAGATGTTTTTACAGGTGCAGTTAGATGCTTTAGGTTAATAGTGTCGTGGTTTAGGTCCGGTCGGTAATTCAGAACCACGTAGTCGCTCACTCACTCCCACACTTCCTTCCCCTGCTCCTGGAGGGATGGGGAGGAGAATGTAAAGAATGTAACTCCCAGGGGTTGATATAAGAGCAGTCCAGTAACTAAGGTATAACACAAATCACTGCTGCTGCCACCAATAATGATAATGATAAGGGAAAAAACAAGGGGAGAGAATACAACTGCTCACCACCTGCCGACTGATACCCAGCCAGACTAGAGCAGTGATCTGGCCTTTCCGGGTAACTGCCCCCAGTTTCTATACCGGGCATGATGTGCTGTGGTATGGAATACCTCTTTGGCTAGTGTGGGTCAGGGGTCCTGTCTCTGCTTCTTCCTGGCTTCCCCTCCTCCCTGGCAGAGCAGGAGACTCAGAAAGTCCTTGGTCAAACATTACTGAGCAACAACTAAAAACATCAATGTTATCAGCCCTGTTCCCAAGCTGAAAGTCAAAACCACAGCACTGCACCAGCTACTAAGGAGAAAAAATGACTGCTACTGCTGAACCCAGGACAAATACAGTGGTATGCCTTCATTATTTTTTTTAAGGCGCTGTACTGTCCATTTGTAAGCAAAATCTTTAGCTTTAGTAATTTTTCAAACTTGTTTTGTGTAATGCTTATCTAAGGGTACATCTTGAAAGTACGTAATGAAAAAAATGTTTTGAAATCTTTGGAAAATGAAAAACTTTATTATCAGGTATTTATTTATCCTGTAAGTCTCTATTTTAGTTATTTTGTAAATAAAAGTAGCCTCTTCACAATACTTACACTGAGTAAAATGTTTCCCAGGATTATTTATGTTTGGCAGAGTACTGGGAAGAGTGCCTGGAATCAGACCCAACAGTGCATTTCCCTTAGCAAACGTCTGCAGAAGTATTTAAATATTTATGTAACTCTTTATCTAATTATTTCTTAAGACAGGAAGAAAGGGTTGAACAGCTAATACAGGCACTCAGTGGAATGCTTAATGTGAGTTATGATGTTTGCTGACATTGTGATGGTTCAGATAAGGAAGATGCTTGTGAGGCACTGAACTTCTTTATTTGATTTTGGGAGCTGGGACATGAGAAAGGAAAAAATACTTTCCAGTTATCTACTGCTTATCACACGTAGAATTGGTGGTACTTAACACTTTTAGGTGAAATGCATTCCAGATTCTTTCTTGCTGTTTATGGGAGGAAGAGACATGAGGCATGGTACCTTGATGAGGTATCTTCAGCTGCAGGTTGCCTGGCAGCAACGCAGGTATTTTGGGTGAATCTCCAGAGCTTCTCACTCTTTTATGACCAATGTAATAATCAGGACCTCTTCTGATCAAAAAATCAGCATATCAGTAACCCAGACTCAGCTGCTTACTGGAAAGCAGACATAGATGTTGACACACAAGGTACTTGCATGGGGATTGTCCCACAGCTGGCATTAGGAGATTCACAGTCTTCCTGGTGGGGGATCACGCCAAGGGCTTGGTTCACCAACCTATTGTTGTGCTGTGTTTCGGGTTGCACCGCAAAGACTGTTTCATCAGTGCTTTTCAAAGGGTTGCAAGGGCTGCAGCGAGACGGGCCTGGTTACTATAGACTTCTAGGAATGATGGAGCACAGATCTGGTTGTTGTTGGATTAACTAAGTGATAAAACAGAAGACCAGCATAGTCATTAGTATGAGCTCTGATGTCACAGCTGTCACTGAACTTAATCACTTCATCTTTCATGTCTGATGATTTTTCTGAGCTAGAGTAGACCTACTTCTCTATGGAAAGAACATCCATTCTTGATTTCAAAACCTGCAACAGCAGAGACTACCACAGCACTTAAAGTTGTATTTTTCTTCTGGACTTCTCTAGGTTTTGTTTCCAGTCTCTTGAGCCTGGTGAGCTGTATTCTCTGCAAATAGTAATCCTCATGCAGATATTTGCAGCCTGAGTTCAAAGTAACTTTAATGTTCCTGCTGATTAACTGAGCAGATTGAACTCTAAGATTCCCTTTCAATAGGCATATTTGTATTTTCTAGCTCTTTTCAATACATCCATAGGGCTCTGGTTTGAATCACTGGATATCAGATGTAAATGTTGATTTGAATAATATTTTTTGTACCAAAGTGCTTGTGTTTACAATATTGTGTGAAAATGTTTTATTACAAGAAATAAATATAAAGCATGGAGATAGAAACATGCTCTCCAATCAATTAGAGCATCAGCTACATCGCCAAAGAAGGTAGCAGTATTTTTTCTTCATTTGCCTCTGGGAGTCAAGTTATAAAGCAGGTGAAATAATAAAAAAAAAAAGTGAACAAAGGCACCTCTCTTAATTACTCTTTTGCAGCCTTCAGGCTATGATTTTTCTCACTTGGACTCCTGCAGTTTTAAAGAAAATGGAATAGGAATTATGTGAGGTAAACACTTTTAGTTAAAGTTATCCAGTGATATCCCACCACTATGAACTTGCTGAGAAAGGACTAAAAGTACATTGCTGGATCAAAATTTCTTCTCATCCACATAAAACTGTAGAAACTTTGTTTTGGTATTCTACCAGTAAAATATTGCCATGTTAAAAAAATAGGATAATTCCAAATTCATTGTGATCCTTTAAATTATGACATGAATATGGGGAAGAAGCAATATGCCAAAACATCAGTAAATACAAGATGGAAATGGTAGGGTCAGGAGTGGGTTGCAGCTAGTGTGAGATTGGAACAGCTGAAAATGCAGTAAGGACTGACATCTTTCTAGACCAAGATTTCCATTTTTGTCTGTACCTTCCTTCTTTTTATAGGTGAAGTCAAATGTGAGGCACCAAATAACAAACTGGATAAATTCACAGGAACTCTTACTCTTCGAGGAGAGAAGTATGCCCTGGACAATGAGAAGATGTTGCTGAGGGGCTGCATTATTAGGAACACAGAATGGTGCTTTGGTCTTGTGATTTATGCTGGTAAGTAATAAAAATCAACATGTGAATTGCAGAGACCAGCAGCAGTAGTAGGGAAGTATATCACATGCAGCAAACACAAAGGAACCAAGTATTTTCCTCTTTGGGAAATAGGTTTCTACCAGGTACAAGAACAAAAGCAAAGCAAAACATGAGATCCCTTGGCTCAAATCTAGGAAATTATGCATATTACAGGGGATTTTAATCTGACTTTTTAATAATGATCTATAAGAGAAAACTGGATTAAAAATGCTACGTTACAACATCCAATTGATTGTTTAAGGAAACAGAAGTAGTCTTTTATTTCAGAAATGCATGCTGCAAAGTACTTGAGAGAAGTCTTGGTCAATCAGCTTGAAAAAACAGCAGAATTAAATCTGTTTAAGAATTAAAGCTGGATGATATCAGCCTTTGCTAGCCCACAGTGGGCCAATTGGAGTTTTTCTTTCCCCCCACACTTGTTACAAATTTTTCACTTTTAACTGTATTTGATTAAAAAAATCCCTATTATTTCTATATGATTGTAATCCATACTGGGATATCAGTTATCAATAACATTATTGTAGACCATTAGATCTATGCTTTTTACAAGCATAGACCTTCTATTGTTTCTCTACTGCTGTAGACATGTGAGATGGTGTATAATATGTCACCAATAACAGAGCATTACCAGGTATTCTGTGAAAAGTAATTAAGCCTGAAAGGGAGGATAGACTGCTGAAAGGAGAGAGCAGGGTCAGAATCCAGAATTAATGGCTGTATGTGACTCTCTGTACAATCTAAGGCAAGTGACTTAACCTTCTTTGCCTGTTTCCCACCAGCACTGTAAACTGTACGTACCTGCTTTCAAGAAAACTGTGATGGGTATTTATGCTGTAAAGTACACCGGGGTCTCAGAAGGAATCAGGTTTATAACAGCTAAGCTTTATTACTAAAATTAAGGAGTGTGTTTCATCTCCAGGGCCAGACACCAAACTAATGCAGAACAGTGGAAAAACAACTTTTAAACGGACAAGTATTGATCGGCTTATGAATGTCCTTGTGTTACTGGTAAGTCTGATTTATGTATTATTATTTCTTCAGATGTATTCATCATTTCGAGATGCTCCACCTCTTTGTCCACACAAATGAGGAAATATCAAAAGAGACTAATGATAAAAAGAAAAATTATGCAATAATTTGTTAGCAGCCTGGGTTCTGCAGCACTTCTGCCAGCCCATCTTGGAAAGCAAGGCTGTTACATTGGCAGCATTAAGGACCTTTTGAGCTTGTAATTTACTCTGATTTTCCTTGTTCTGCATTTTTTGTGAGAATCATTCTGAAGACTCCAAATGCCTTCTTTCTCTAGTAGTTTTGTCATTTCCTATTTAAATAAACATTAGCAGTTCTCCCTCTTTCACCTGATTTCTTGGCATCTCTGCTGACATCTGCACAGGACTTGGTAATTGAATTTGTTAATTTACATGATGTAGCTTCTGACTTAACACATTATGATAAAATAATAGACATAGTCTCATTAATACTCAAAAACTGGTGTTTTTAGCAGCTGGGAAATTTGAGAACACTAATCTTACATAGCAGGCACTCTCCTCAAACTGGAACACAGATCTGATTTGAGGGGTAAACTTGTCAGTGGTTTTAACAAATGGCCGAGAAAAAAGAAAACTGAATAGGGAACTTGGAATTTAGTGTTAGATTATGATTTGCCAAATCTCCTTTTTCAAGTCAAAAGTCCCACCCAGAGATTCCAGTCTGTTTGGCCTCACTTCATGAACACAAACAAGATGAATTTACCTCCTGGCTCTGTTTAAAAAACTGAGCAAGTTACAGCCAATTGCATCAGCCTCTGCCTGGGTTCTTGGGCTCTGATGGAGCTAAGGGTGTGTTTTTCTGCTTTATGCTTTTTAAGACACCTAACATTTTGATGTCTGAGTAAAGCTCTGTCCTACCCTCAGCACTGGGCTCTTTGCACGCCCAAGGGGATGTGGCATCAGGTCCTTCCAGCTCTTTGGGTGTCCAAGGTTACAAAGTGTGGTCATAAAAAGAGGCAGTATATTGTGCTCTTGAGTTCAGAAATACAAAGCAGGCACCACTTGCTATAAATAGCTTACTTTAAGTGTAATGAAACTGGTTCTACATTAACACAGACAAAGCTGTTTTGTGGCTAATTGTTCATAGAACTCCCAGGCCCAAAGCAGTATTTAAGAAGGGCTCACCAAAGAAGTCTGGTTAAATGTTGTCCTGGTCTATCCCAACAAGGGTTAATAAGGAGTGAACCTTTCCAGATGGCAACCATAGATGTTTGGAAGTGTTTCTCAGGGATCTAAGACAGAAGTTCCACTGGGAAAGCACCAGTCAGCTCCAGGAATTCTTTTTCTTCCAGAACCTGGTTTTTAGGAGGCTTGGGGGAGCATGTTTTCAGAGAAATAGGGCTGTCACTTTCATCTCTTAAATAACTTTCTGCTTCAACACAAAGTGCCAGTAAAAAAACCTGAGATAGTTTTAATTCATAATCCAACAGGAAATGCTTGTCGAAAGTCAGCTCCTCTTTACAAAAATCCTACCCCGTCCTGCAGAGGATCTTTTGCAGGCAGTGCATAGGCAGGACCAAGAGAGGGATGGTGCTCATGCTGGGAAGCCCCATGACCAGGCACAAGCCTATGATCAGGGGTTTTTCACATCCTTCTCTTGCAGAGCTGTGGTTATGATTACAACACCCTGCACACAGTTGTTAATCTCCAGGGCCACTGTCAACTGCTCAGTTTTTTGCAGTTGTCTCAAACAGTACGTTAGTGAACTTCATGTAAGCATGATTATTGAACACAAGTTGACTGTGAGGGATGATTTGACACACCAAATACATATAAACCAAAGTGTACACAAAGCAAGTGTGCCTGTAGGCAAGATCTGCTGTCATACAGGATAGTTCAGCTGCTGTCTTGCCCTATGTGTATTTCTGTTGCTGAATCACACGTTGAATTTTGTACATGGGTTCTGATATTCTACAGACTGAAAATTTTGAGCCCATGGGGCAGTGTGGAATCATTCAGGATACAGTAGTAAGATCTTCTAATTAACTTCTTTTACAAGAAATTTACAGACAAGTTCTGCAGAGAGAAGTAACAGTTTTTACTTGCCCAACAGAAATATCTATTAAAATAGGTATAAATGGTAGGAAAAACTATGATACATCCAGCAAAGGGCAAGGTAAGGTCCTCCAGGCAGTTTCTATTACCAAGTTGCAGCCAGGTATTCAAGGACCCACAGCCCAACTCTATCGAGACTGGATGTTCTGAAGCACAGAACAGCCAATGCCCATGAGCACCTTGTTTAGGTGTCAACTTTGGACTTAAATCCCATGCTGTCTGAGGTCTTGTGTTACCAGCTTGCCAGACTCTGCACTGTATAATTTTGTCCTTGAAGTAAAAGTGTCATAACTTTGCTGGTTTTCTTCCTTCACCCCTCTGAACATTTTCCTGTGATTCATGTTGTCCAATCCAATTTCCTAAGGGTCTTCTGAATAACCTGTATGTAAGAAATTCCTTGTTTCTAAAATGCATTGTTTGCTTTTTTGTTTGTTTTTTTTGTTTGTTTGTTTGTTTTGTTTGTTTGTTTTTCGCAGATCTTTGCATTTCTAGCACTGATGTGTCTTATTCTGGCCATTGGCAATGGCATCTGGGAGTATGATACAGGCTACTACTTCCAAGTCTACCTGCCATGGGCAGAAGGTGTCAACTCTGCCTCCTACTCCGCCTTCCTCATGTTCTGGTCATATGTGATCATACTAAACACAGTGGTGCCCATTTCACTCTATGTCAGGTATGTGCTAGGAGCTCCTTTCATGTTCCATCTTAGAATTTAGACATTTAGCTTTTTGCCCTAGCTGGGAGCAGCATTTTCCCTAAACACAAATGCAACCTCATTGTGGATGACAGCACACAACTACAGCATCACTTTTCTTATTTCTGCTGCCTTTAGAGGTCTTTCATAGGGTTGGAGGGGGGACAGAAGTGAGTCCTGAAAGAGAAGATGATTTTACATTTAAACGGTAGGTGTAGGATGCTATAGGAATACGTCTTAAACCTGTGGTTAGTGTCTTGCTCTCTCCCACTTGCACTGCCCAAACAAAGTGGATTGCATGGTTTTTGCAGTGGTTGTAGGGCTTGTGTGAGGAGTGGATTGCCAGGTAAGTAGGTGTAATCAGGTTGAGAATCCATAGTACGTGGTGCTACATGAGCAGAGTGAATGCTGCCACTTCCTGGAGGATATAGTACTATGTCGGTTATTGCAGATAGGCAAGTAGTAGTAAAGAGCAGGCAATGTGTCCATGACGCTCTCAAAACCTTAACTGTGGGGTGTAGACTGACTAGACTGGTGTAGTTTTGCACTGCACCTAACTCTTCAGACAACTTTGCTATGAAGACTCTCTTTTGTGTTGGTAAATACATGAGGAATTAATCCTATTTCAGGTCAGTATGTCAGCACCAAAGTGTAAATTCATGTATCTGTGAGCTGATGTGTCTTCTTGGTTATTGAGCTACACAATGACTTGCTTGTTGTAGAGCTCTGTGTTGCTTGAGCTGTGGCTGTGCTCATCCCCCAACACTGGGGTCAGCCCAGCTCAGAGGCCTGCTGGAAACCACCCCTATCTAAGCATCACTCCCAGAACTGCACCAAGTGAAACCCATTGTTTTTCAGTCTGGGAACTTCAGAAACTCCTCAAATACATTTGTAAGATGTTGCTTTATAAATAAGGAATTTGCTATAAACCTAACAGATCATTTCAGCGTGACATGCTTCATCATTGCATATAAATTTCATGGCTACAAGCCATTTAAGGACAACCTGATGAGTACACCCTGTCATTACTTTCAAAACTGTTTTCTAATCACAATCGATAATGGTCATGCTGAAGATAGTGTCCCTTAAACTAATCAATATTCCATCACCTTCTCTTTCTGTTTCACCAGTGTAGAGATCATACGCTTGGGTAACAGTTTCTACATTGACTGGGACCGTAAAATGTATTATCCACCAAAGGACACACCAGCTCAGGCCCGTACCACTACACTCAATGAAGAGCTGGGCCAGATCAAGTACATCTTCTCAGACAAAACAGGAACTCTTACTCAGAACATCATGTGTTTCAATAAGTGCTCCATCAATGGCAAATCCTATGGTATGTCACCTATCCATCTTATTCTCCAAGTTTTATTCTGCTGTGTGGCTGTTTGTTCACAGAGACTAAGTGTGGTATCTAGAAGATAGTGTCTTGTAAGAAGCTGCAGTGATCAAGTGAAGGGCTGACCATCAATGACATCACTTGCATATCTTAATACCACATTCTTATCCCTTGTTTCTCCCTTTTACCACCTTTTTACCTCCCTTTTTCTGCCCCAGTATCATCCAAACTAAAGAACTAGCACCTCATTACTTTTTCCTCATTGGTCCCAGTTTTACTACATCTGTACTCAGATTTGGGTTTTTTTCTGTTACGACTACCTAGATAACCTCAGCCTTTTATGGTACTATTGACATGGTTACCCAGGTATTGCTAACACGTAACCAACTCCCCCTTAATCACTTGTGAAATCAGCCATTCCTCAAGGGGTATCTGCAAATTTTGTCAGCCTCTCACACTACCATCCCTTACATTCAGCAATTTCTCAGGTCATGAGGAGAGGTTTTCCACATCCTGTTCAGGAAGCTGAACTTCTGGTTGATGTTCTAAAGGCCTAAAGGCCTTGTCCTTTGCCTTTAGGCCCTGACATACTTCACCTACAAGAAGAGAGAAAAGTTTGTAGGGAGCTGAAAAAAATGGGAAACAAAAATTCTTACCTCTGTTAGATCCTAACAGAAAATTACTTAGACTGGCTCCCATATTGTATGGCCCCAAGCAGTTTTCTTCATACTACTCAAGAGGTGCTAAGAATTCACAATCTGACTAATTGGTTATCACCATTAAATTCCTCAAGAGAAATTAGTCACATCTTATTGAGAGATTGATGCTTGTTTTGCCTGTGTCAGACTGACTGATGACTAGTATACCAGAAAGCATGTCTTCTTTTCCCGTGCTATCAGCTAACCTAATAAAAGAAGTTGTTTCTTCCCATAAATCTTGTTTTGTATATATTTGGAGACCAGCATATCTCTAACAGCACTACTATGCTAGCCAACATTAGTGCTGCTAAACAGTCTGAAAATACTGTCTGTTCCTTCATACATCCTCGGTTGACATTTCCAAAGTGGATGTCACTGCTAGGATAGATACAGGGCTGGGGTTCAATAAATGAATGGCAAATATTTAGAAAGAAGGCAGAACGTCTACTGCATATAGTTTTCTAAGTGCTTAGCTGCTTCTTAGCAATGTGCTTCAAAGCTGCTACTCAGAGGCATATGGGAAAGCCATGCCAGAAAGTATGAGTTAGTCCCGCTGCCATGGAAGGTACAGCAGAAGCTTGAGCTTCCTATTGGGAATGAGGTGTCCAAAAGCTTCTCAGTTACAATTCTCAGGGAATCAGCTGATGTGCAGGTCTCAGGAGATAATGACTTCTCTCTGTAGATGAGTTTCTTCTACACTCTCAGGGCCTTTGTGACAAGTACAAGTACCTATGATTGACTTTGGTCACATTTGAGGTTGCTCATGCAGGTATGGATCTATCATTCATGCAATTCTCTGCATTTTAGACTTACTTCAATGCAGCGTTGAATCTGGCTGGGCTGAGCAGAGTCCAAATCTTCCAGGTGAAATTATTCTTCAGGTAAAAGAAGTTTCATTGGTGTTTCCTGGAGATGACATGTCTTCCATTTCTTTGACCAGATCATCAGTTCAGGGAAAATGAGCCTTGCTACCTAGACACATGAAGAATGGGCTCTGTAGTTGTTCAGGGACTGTTGTAAACCCAGTAAGATCCAGGAGCTGGACTTTGTCTCACATTCCAAAGGGAAGGTACAAGAGAAGACATCCCCTGAAAGCACCTTCATTTCCCACCTAGCATTACATCCTTTCTGGGTTCTGCTTGAGCCAAGTGTTCTTTACCCAAAAGCCAGTCATTTTTATAGTACGTGCTTTGTGTTTCAAGCATCAGTCAGTCTCTGTATTTTGTCATGGATTAACATAGAAACTGGTTGATATGATTTGTCAGTCTCCAGTGCCCATGTCAAGATATTTACTTACTGAAGCTTTTCAACTAGACACTATCTTCAGCACACTTTGACCAATTTTTGTTGTAGAGAAGCTCAGAGTCTACACTTACCTGGAATTTGCACCTACAACTTGTCTTTCTCGATTGCAGGTGATGTGTACGATATGTCTGGGCAAAGGATAGAAATAAACGAGGTAAGTGCTCAAGTGCTATCAGGATCTGAGCTTTCACTGAACCTGCTGCCTGTATAGTGCTAATGGACACACCTACACAGGCATAGTTTATGCTCTTGACCCTCCAACAACTGATGCTTTTGACCCTGACAACAGGGATGTGTATTATGGATGTCAGAGGATTGCCAGCATTACATTCCCTTCTAATGTCATTCAAACCTGCAGGTTGGGTAGCCTGAGTGCCCACTGTTCCCTTAGCTTCACACGACACCCTTGTGCATGCTCAATTCCTCTTGAATATTTGCCCTTTGATGTTTGTTGGGAACTTGAACATTGGTGGATTTTATTATCCTTGGCAGTTAATTAAAGCTTTTGTTGGGAATCGGTGAGTTTAGTTCATGTTGCTAACAAGTTAACTGTCAAATTGCCCCTATGTCTGGGCATTGGGAAGTGTGAAAATAAGTGACTTTTCCATTTCTCTCTAGCCTCTGCTTGCTGGCACAAACCCACATGTCTTGGATTTCTAAAATGTCTGAAAACTGCAGTAATCCAAGTAACGAACATCAAGATGATGATGAAAATCCCACTCCTTATTCCAGTGCTTCATTTCCAGGCCATTTAAAACTTAAATCACTCAGTGAAATTGCCCATTTGTGCTGAGCTATGTGCCTCCAGACTGCCCTTTCTCAGGCAGCAAAAGGCAAAGGGCTGACTTGCTTGGGGAGACATGCTTGTCTCCTGCCAACTGCCTGCCCAGCAGCTCCTCATGCCCATGATACTCACCGGAGCAGAGCCCTGCTGCCCACATGGTGTGGCAGTACCTGGACCTTGCTGCACAGAGTAGTGTGCGTGGGGTGGGTCTGTGCTCTTGTGGTAAATCTCAGCTTGCAGAGGTCAAAAGGATGCCTCCCACCCTTGGAAACAATGAGCTCATAGGGGATGGGGCAGGCTCGACAGTGCATTCCTCCATGACACATCATGCTGTGAGCTTCTGGCCATTTCTCCAATACGTTCCCCCCTGCTTGGGGCTCCTTGTTTTCAGACTAAATGTGCAGTGCCTGCAGAGTTGAACTTTCACATCACTTCTCTGTATAAATATTTTTTTCTATAACATGATTTTTTTTTTTGCTTTGGTAGAACAGGGTGGAGAGCACAGCCTTTTGAATTGTTTTAAATTGGGCTTCCATATTCCATTATCACAGGCAGCCATTGACATCAGGAGTAGGATGCCTCCAAGCAGGCATGTGTTTAAGGCAGACTTTTCTTTGCTATGAAAACCTTTTGTTGGGGAGTCTGTAGGAGCATTTGCTGTCATGCAGAGAGGCATCTTTACCTAACAAGATTCCTAGTCCCAGTGCTGCTCTGAAAGGCACCTTGGGTGTCTGTCCTCTCCTGTGATTCACTATCTTTCCAGTTACTTGGGCTCACCAATCTCTGTCATGAGCAGCCCTGCAGGAGAGCGCCCTTTGTAAATATAAGGCAGAGAATGGGGTTACCATGGGCAGGTATTGGCTTACAGACATATGAGAACTCCACAAATAAGACTGAGCCATATTTTTGCAGAATACAGAGAAGGTTGATTTCTCATACAACCAGTTAGCCGACCCGAAGTTTGCATTCTATGACCATAGCCTGGTTGAAGCAGTGAAGCTGGGTGATGTCCAGACGCACAGGTTCTTCCGGCTGCTCTCACTCTGTCACACGGTGATGCCAGAAGAGAAGAAGGAAGGTGAGGACTGTTGAAGACACCAGACCGAATGGTTATGCTCACCTTGCACCGCTGTATGTCCTCTTTCCACAGAAGCTGTTACCGGTCCTTTTGGCTTCCTGGTGATTTTCTGTAGTATATGGCTACACATAAATCAAAGTCTTTGGAGATGCCACATGGGACGAGAAAGGACCGGGCTCTCCATGCTCTGTGTATTCCTGTAGTGGAGCTGACACTACTGCAAACACCACATCTCTGGAGTGTGGAAACTGCAGGTGCCACAGCTTCCCTGAGGTGGCATGTGACTTGCCGCACTCTTTCTCTACTCCGCACCAGGTCCCGTAAAGTAAAGAACACAGAGTGCCTATCTACTGGAGACTCAGTAGCTCCTACCACTCAGTGTTCCCACAGGTACTGAGTCAGCCTCCTGACATCCCAGGCTGGGTAAAAACTGTGCTTTAAAGGCTAGAATCATTAAGTTGATATATATAAGCTGAAAAGACTGGTGAGACGAATATATGCAGATAGTTATACATACTGGATAGAAGAATACATACATAATTACATATGTAACTAGAAGGGGGTTAAACTCAAGGAAGTTGTCCATTCAGAGATATCTGTTGGACTCCAAAGGGAATGTTACACATCCCAGAAGAGCCTAAGGGCCTTCCTGCACTGGCCTGGTGGATGGGTTAATGGGACTTGATGGAGACATATGGATTTAAGGTGCTTTTTTGTGCTGCACCTCTGGGGATAGACAGAAAAGCAAGGGGTTAACTGCTATGTAATGTCTTTGATTTTGTATTTGTCTAGCCTCAGAAACAAGGCAGAAGCCACATTACGTATCTTTTCTTGCATGTCAGGTAACTTGGTGTATCAGGCCCAATCCCCTGATGAGGGAGCCCTTGTCACTGCTGCCAGAAACTTTGGATTTGTATTCCGGGCTCGCACCCCAGAGACCATCACCATTGTGGAAATGGGAGAAACAAAAGTCTACAAACTCCTGGCTATTCTTGACTTCAACAATGTTCGCAAGAGAATGTCTGTTATTGGTATGTTCCCTTTGTTTCCTTCTTTCCTTTCTCACTTTTTAGGCTCTCATACCTCATTCTGCTGTGATGCCTTTTCCTCGTTTGCAGTTCTTTCTGAATAACATTCACTTCTGAGCTCTTTGAGCTTTCAGTTACACAGCAATAGTGCTAGATAAAAACTTAGGCAGGTGGGGAACATCATAACACTAGGACCACAATGATGGAACAGACTTTTACAAACTCTACGCTCTTTAATGTATTTTTCTTCCCTCATTACAACACAGGAAAGGTCTTCCTTCTAATCAGCTTTAAAATTAAAATCTAAGAAAGTGGGAAAGGAGAAAGCAAGGATGAGTAGGGAAGCACCCTTTCCTGGAAGGAAAATGCATAAATGGTTCAAGAAATCTCATGTAGCCTTTATCAACCCTCCAGCATCCTCAGCTATCTCAGGATCTAAAATGTCATAACTGTAGCAAGAGAGTGGTGTTACCTTGACTGGCAGGAACAGCAAGAGCTGCAGGATGAGTTCACTCAGAACACATTGTTCTTGGCTTTTGAATGCAGATGTCCAGCCTGAAATGCTGCCTGTAGGAAACACGTAGCTCAACAAAGCATCTGCTCAGACCAGTGTAATATGGGTACAGTTTTCTGTGCTGCAACAACTAATGTGGAGAGCAGTTGCATTATCTTATTTTCTAAGCAAAGCTTGTCTTGATTCCTGGGAATCTGCCAAAACCTGATGGAGTTTAGACATGTCTGAAAACCTTTCTTTGTCTTGATGGAAGTGCTTTGAATCCTAAGTGCCTCAGTCTGGGATCTGTAGCATTTCTTTTCCCTTCCTCATAGTGCGGAGCCCAGAAGGTGACCTGACTTTGTACTGCAAGGGGGCTGACACCATTCTTTATGAGCTGCTCCATTCATCCTGTGACTATCTCAAAGAAGAGACCACAGAACACCTGAATGTAAGTGTTTCCCTCCACAGTACCTATCTGCATCTGACGGTTTCCTTTTCTCTGGGTAGGGAAATGTACTTTGTGTTGAGATAAAAACCAGGTTTCAGAAACAGCACATAAGCACCAGTTTTTTAATTATGGAATGGAGAGGAAAATTAGTGTATGAAGCCTTAGGTCTGAAATCAGTTGTCTAAGCATGGGCATCAGGTGCCATTTGAAATGCTCCAGGACATCTGGATGGCACATACAATGCAGGGTGTTCAGAAGACCTGTATTTCTCTGGAGTAGCTAGAAGCCAGGCAGGATAACAGCTGAAATGAAACAACACATCTGTGTTTTGACAACTAGATTCCCTCTAAGTCTGCTGTTACACCACATACACCCAATGCATGCCTTGGATTAGCATAACTCAGGTAATCAGTAAAGGGCCACAGAGCTATTCGCCTTCTTGAATACAACTGAGATTTGCAGTGATTATGATCCAAGAGGTCTCAGTCAGAAGGGACCAGGTAGATGCTGGGACATATTCTCACTCACCTTCCCTTTTTCCTAATCATATAGCGGCATATTGACTGGGCAGCAAGAAAAATGCATCACCCAAACTTTTGGCTTTTTACATCGTTGATGCTGTGCACTGGGAGGTGGTTACTCATGTAAGGGGATGCTTTAGCCAATATTTGATCCCCCTTATGATGCCAGATCATGCTGGTACAGTGCAAAGCATGAGGTAACAGAAGGTTTTGCCAGAGGGGTTATGCAATAGGAAAACCATCTCTGCTTACTGCCAGGGGGAACCAGAAAATGTTGCTGGCAAGCGAGAGGGCAGAGCGGAGCTGATGCACCTTTATGTCAAGCCTAGGGAAATACCTCAGTTTTCACAAATGGATCTCTGTTATTCCAACACTGAAATCCATACCATCAATAATACCTCTGCAGAAAGCAGTTAGAAGGACTTGCTGAGAAGGACTTCTAGCAGTTAGAAGGACTGACTGTGCTCATGCAGTGGATTTCAGCCAGCATTTATACACTAAAAATTCTGAGCCCGTATCTAAAATTCAGGGGTGTGTTCAAGGATGTTCACTTAGCTTCCAGTGTTCTGAACCTTTTGTTGAGAAACATGAGCCTGGAAAACAAGTGCCTGGTTAATGTAAAGCTTCAGAACCAGAAAGTAGGAAAGCCGTTTTGAATCTGCTCTTCATAAGGACCATGGATAGCAGTGATAAAGTGATCTGGAACTAGTCTTCAAAGAGTACCCCCTGGTTTGTAATCTAAGATGTGATTTTTTCAGCCATCCTCTGAGACCTTAGGCAAGAAGCTTTTAGAGATAGCTGCTTGCTTTCCAAGGGTCCTTTGTAAGCAGACTGTCTTTCTTTGACCAATTCTGCCGTACCACTGTATTGCAGGAGTTTGCTGGTGAAGGTCTGAGGACACTCGTGGTGGCTTATAAAAACTTGGATGAAGAGTACTTTCAGGACTGGATCAGGCGTCACCATGAAGCAAGCACTGCCTTGGAAGGACGGGAAGATAAACTATCGGAGTTATACGAAGAGATTGAAAAAGACCTCATGGTTGGTGTTTCAGGGAATCTGGGCCAAGCCCTGGGGGAGGCAGCGAGGATGGTGGTTTGTCAATAAACTGCTCAGTATGACTTCAGTAAGCATTGCTCTGCAAACAGCTCAGTGGGTTGTGTGACAGGAGCAGTTAAGAATATGGCAGTCCTGGGTTTTCACTGGCACCTCCGTCAGGAGCCTGTAAGCAGAGTGTCAGCCACCAGTGTAGGGGAATGGTTTTATTTTAACTCATGTGGGTGTCGGAGTATCTTTCTCGTGATATAAGTGACATACCAGAGCCTGAGGGAGATGACGTGGACACAAATATTTCATAGCTATCCTTTGTATGTGTGAATGGATGATCTATTTATTTTCCTGTTTTTGAAATGGCAGGCAGTGAATAATCCCCAGTGCCCTTCCATTTCAGAGAATGTCTTCTTTGTTCTTGCAGCCCTGGGCAGGATGGGAAGATGATGTCCATGAACATGTTTATGTCAATTTGGAATAGGGCTAAACTGTGATCTTCAAGTCATTCTTCTCTCCCTGAGTGTTGTTACAGCTTTTTAAATGCCCTGGGGAGGTCTGCCTGTGTTTTAGATCTGTGAATAATGAATGAAAAGGATGTGTGGGATCTGAGGGGAAGCAATTCAGCTTTTGCACTCGCAGCAGTGCTTTCCTGAAATCTTGGAAATTCAGGGAGCTGCACCTTTGCTCCTTCCATTAGCTGTATGCTCAGGACGCCAGCAAGGCCTGGGATGGGACTTTGATGGGACAAAGGAGGTGGATGGGACAAAGGACCTGGGATGGGACAAAGGACCTGGGATGGGACAAAGTCCCAAGGCTGGGACTTTGAACATCCTGGTCTGGCAGAAGGTGTCCCTGCCAGTGGCAGGGGGTTGAAACTAGGTGAGCTAGGTCCCATTCTAGGATTTTATGGAGAAGCAAGTACGAGCTGAGGAAATGCTGACCTCCAGAACTCTTATAGTCCGTGGGACAGAGCCTGCTGCCCTTCTGGGTCCCAACAGAGAAACAGAAAATGCTGATCCTCCAGTCCAGACAATATATTGTGCAAATGCTCTATGGGTTGTGTTCAAAGCATGAAGGACAAGGAGGTTTAGGAGGTTAAGGGCATCAGCTGCTTTGCAAGAAAGGGTTATGAAGCTCATGGCTTGGATAAAGGAAAGGTCATGTGCTCACAGGAGGCAGAAGTGTGGTTCGAAACAGGTCTGGCTTACCAGACCTTTCTCTGTACTCTGTACAGGAGTGCCTTTACTTCCTGAAGGTGGTCTGGGAAGAACAGAGAGTTGGTGTAGGAAAACCTGGCTTGTGACAGAATGGGTGTGAGAGCCAGAGTTAGCAAGGAAGTAGATGGGTGTAAGAGGGCTGCCAAGCATCATAGTCTGGTTGATGGGCAAGAGAAGTCCCTGTGTGTGGCAGGCTCAGGCTAGGGGCCCTAAAGGGGAGTAAGGATATTAAAACACAAGAGGATGGAACATGGTTGGATTTAGAGAATAGTAGTAAAAATATTGATTGACGTAAAGACTAAGGAAGATCCGCAGTGAGGAAAGCATCATGACTGTTCCTCCAGCTGCTCTTACACCAGGTCATGGGCAGCTTGTCAACAGTCTTATTGTGCCTTTCTGCAGCTCCTGAGAGACAGTGGATGTGGGGAACGCAAGCCCTTGTTCTGTCTTCCTGGGCACATTAGATGTCAGTGTCCATCTTTTGAGCTTTCAGCTCAGACTCAGGCTGTCAAGGGTGAGGAGTGCTCCCAGGAAGTGGCTGTGTATGCTACAGGCATTTAAGCTCTTGCTAGCTTAATAGCCCAGGGACTACTGCTGTAAAACCAGGGACCGTGCAGTTTGAGGACCCTACAAAGAAGTTCTGCCAGAGCTGTTGTCTATGTTGGTAACATATATAGCTGGTGAGTGATGATCATCCCAGGAAGCCAAAAGGTATCTTGGGCTTAAAGCCAGCCTCTGAACTGAGCCTCCCAACAGCAGGAGGTAGGTGGTAGCAGATGCCATCTAAATCTGAGCTAGCAATGAAACCTTCATGCCCTTCTGACAATAGGTTAAAACCACCAAGTGTCTCCAAAACACAGAAAAAGCAATAACTTTAAAATAATGCAGGTTTGTGTTCTGAGCAGTCCATGGTTTAGTTGTGTGACAGTGTGGAGCAGGGCGGGGACAGGTCTGTTACGGGATAGAGATGATGTTCAGCAGCCATAGGACGGCTGCTGTCCGATATAGCTAGGAGCAAACTCCATGTGAGAGGATGTATATGGAGGTTTGGGGACACAGATACACAGCTGTCCCTGTCCCTCAGTTAAAGCTCTATCTGCTGTGAAAGCGACACGTGTCCCCTTCACCTTGTGGGTCTTCAAACATGTTGGCAAACAACTTCATGCATGTTCATGGTTAGGGCTGTGCTCCATACAGTAAATATGCTGAAGAAGAATGGAAATCAGCACAACTGTATTCCTGGATTTGTTTGCTCGAGTCATTACTTGGAAGTCTAATGCTTTCTCCTTTGCTAGCAATGGGAAGACTTACCAGTTCACTGACATTTTCTGTTAAGCTTCTAGGTGCTACAGCGATTGAGGACAAGTTACAAGATGGAGTCCCACAGACAATTGAGACTCTTGCCAGAGCCAGCATTAAGATATGGGTTCTCACTGGAGACAAGCAAGGTAAAGGGGCTACAGCTTTGGGTGTTTCTCTTCTCTCCCACCGGTGGGATGGTTCAGCTAAGACCCACGTTCTCTTTTTATTTTCTTTGAAAACTGCACAGAAAACAAACTTACAAGGCTTTGCTTCATTGGCAGCTTGGCAAAACTCTCTGAAATTAGACCAGATAACTGTAGCTACTGCTTGTTCTCAATTCCCATCCTCAGTCTGGAAGCAGTGTGAAGTCATCATCCTTTCCCTTAGGAGAGGTGGCAGAGAGCATCCGATAGACCCTGTCACGTGCTGTGAAAAGGTCTCACTTTACTAGTCAGCTATCCTGGTGAAGAAGGTGGAAAAAACTCTTTCCCTGATTTCCAGGAACTTTATTGCTGAAGTGGATGTTGGGTCTGTC